ACTAAACGTGGAAGATGTGACTGCATCTTATTCACCTCACTCACGGGACTTATTTTGATTCCAAGTCTTCAGGAGCCTCTTCTATGACATCTTGTATGATGCTGAAATTCCAGAGCCTACTGTCCGACACAGCGTAAATGTAGTTGTGGTGGTGAGAATTGTATTGCTGTGAGGAAGACGTTCTATTTTTTTTTCTTTCTTTCTTTTATGCAGAACAAAGAAGCACGCATTTTAAGAAGCGGGTATTTGTAGAAGCAGATAAATGTGTATGTCACGCTATTCCAATCAGTGTCATGCGATGCATTCATTAATGGACAACAGACAAGTAAGCCTTCAAGGTAGACTTCAACTGTTTCCCACGTCTTTGGTAGGGCGTTAAAATCCGTCGCGCATTTCAGAAGGTTTGAGAAGTGACAGATCGACCTACTGACCTATCGCGAAGTGATGGTGACCATGTTATGACCATGTAGTATAATGCTCACTCCCAAAGGATCCATTTCTCACACCCTCCAAAATTCAAATACACGCACCTCTTCCGTCCTCAAGAGACTCCATTATTATTTAGAATTCCGACTCCGTTGTCAGGTAGATCAGACTATTGCATCCAAGTCTTGTGTTGTATTGTGGGCAAAATAATGGTGAATTTCATAATTCCATTCGGCTACGGGACCCACATTGCAGACTGACTGTAAATTGTTATTGGAGGAGGCCAATGCCTCATCGTCGTCGTTGGTGCCGTCCTTACTCTCATCTGGTGCCTTTGTGTTTGATATTTTTGCATCAGGTGATGACAGGCACTCTTTCTTGTCGTTTGTAATGGAGGCCTATTGGGGTGGTGGAGAATGCAGGGATCCAAATGCGCACATCTTTGAATGCACGTTCACCAACTGGCATAGAGGAGTAAGTGAAGCTATTCACAGGTGGAGTGACAGAAGTCCATTCTTCTGTGTTTAACAAACGGATGAATTGCGTTTCTATCATGTTTACTTGATTGTGTTTTTTTGTACTCTTGGGTTTTTTGAATGCTTAGTGGTTTTGTTTTGTTTTTTTTTTTTCACATTTTTATATGTGTGTGTTATGTCGGAAATAAGCAGAGGTGGCTGACATGCAGGCGATTTACCATCTTGTAAGTCCAGCCACACCTTAAAGTTGACTGGAACCTTTTACGGAGTCCATTTCGCTCCTAACTTTGATCCCTTTTTATTCGAAAAAAAAAAGATTTAGTCACATTTCTTCTCTCTTGTGGTTATGTAGTGCAGTCTTGCGGTCCGAATTGAGCCCCATCTCTTTGAGTGGTTGGGATGGTATTCGGGGAAATTGCCAAATTTTCTCTCTCCCACAACTCTCAACGAATTGGGCTACAACGTAGACCGAGAGTATCAGTCTCTCTCCTCTCTCGATCAACTCGATCTTCAAGAAAGCGTGCCCCAATTCTACGCACGCTCTACACAACTTGTTAACGACATTCTTGAGCACAATCCCACCAAAGGTAGGTAAAGATTGGAATTTAAATTGCTTACTGCTTGAGACTGAGGGTTTTTACGATCCTGTGTGTGTATCACTTTTATTGTGTCCGTATTTCTTCAAGGAGAGGTGTATGCATAATTCAGTCACATGTCTTGAGCAGTTAATAGATGTTG